ACTGAAACATCAACTGACACTGCAACTACTGAAACTACAACAGCTCAGCCAACTGAAAAACATCAACTGACACTGCAACTACTGAAACTACAACAGCTCAGCCAACTGAAACATCAACTGACACTGCAACTACTGAAACTACAACAGCTCAGACAACTGAAACATCAACTGACACTGCAACTACTGAAACTACAACAGCTCAACCAACTGAAACATCAACTGACACTGCAACTACTGAAACTACAACAGCTCAGTCGACTCAAACATCAACTGACACTGCAACTACTGAAACTACAACAGCTCAGTCGACTGCAACATCAACTGACACCTGCAACTACTGAAACTACAACAGCTCAGACAACTGAAACATCAACTGACACTGCAACTACTGAAACTACAACAGCTCAGACGACTGAAACATCAACTGACACTGCAACTACTGAAAACTACAACAGCTCAGACAACTGAAACATCAACTGACACTGCAACTACTGAAACTACAACAGCTCAGACAACTGAAACATCAACTGACACTGCAACTACGAAACTACAACACTCAGCCAACTGAAACATCAACTGACACTGCAACTACTGAAACTACAACAGCTCAGTCAACTGAAACATCAACTGACACAGCAACTACTGAAACTACAACAGCTCAGACAACTGAAACATCAACTGACACTGCAACTACTGTACTAACAGCTCAGCCAACTCAAACATCAACTGACACTGCAACTACTGAAACTACAACAGCTCAGACAACTGAACATCAACTGACACTGCAACTACTGAAACTACAACAGCTCAGCCAACTGAAACATCAACTGACACTGCAACTACTGAAACTACAACAGTCAGCCAACTGAAACATCAACTGACACTGCAACTACTGAAACTACAACAGCTCAGCAACTGAAACATCAACTGACACTGCAACTACTGTAACTACAACAGCTCAGCCAACTGAAACATCAACTGACACTGCAACTACTGAAACTACTACAGCTCAGCCAACTGAAACATCAACTGACACTGCAACTACTGAAACTACAACAGCTCAGTCAACTCAAACATCAACTGACACTGCAACTACTGAAACTACAACAGCTCAGACAACTGAAACATCAACTGACACTGCAACTACTGAAACTACAACAGCTCAGCCAACTGAAACATCAACAACTGACACTGCACTACTGAAACTACAACAGCTCAGACAACTGAAACATCAACTGACACTGCAACTACTGTAAACTACAACAGCTCAGCCAACTGAAACATCAACATCTGACACTGCAACTACTGAAACTACAACAGCTCAGACAACTGAAACATCAACTGACACTGCAACTACTGTAACTACAACAGCTCAGCCAACTGAAACATCAACTGACACTGCAACTACTGAAACTACAACAGCTCAGTCAACTGAAACATCAACTGACACTGCAACTACTGAAACTACAACAACTCAGACAACTGAAACATCAACTGACACTACAACTACTGAAACTACAACAGCTCAGCCAACTCAAACATCAACTGACACTGCAACTACTGAAACTACAACAGTTCAGACAACTGAAACATCAACTGACACTGTAACTACTGTAACTACAACAGCTCAGCCAACTGAAACATCAACTGACACTGCAACTACTGAAACTACAACAGCTCAGCCAACTCCAACATCAACTGACACTACAACTACCGTAACTACAACAGCTCAGCCAACTCAAACATCAACTGACACTGCAACTACTGAAACTACAACAGCTCAGCCAACTCCAACATCAACTGACACTACAACTACCGTAACTACAACAGCTCAGCCAACTCAAACATCAACTGATACTGCAACTACTGAAACTACAACAGCTCAGCAACTCCAACATCAACTGAAACTACAACTACCGTAACTACAACAGCTCAAACAACTCAAACATCAACTGACACTGCAACTACTGAAACTACAACAGCTCAGTCAACTCAAACATCAACTGACACTGCAACTACTGAAACTACAACAGCTCAGCCAACTGAAACATCAACTGAAACTACAACTACCGTAACTACAACAGCTCAGACAACTCAAAAATCAACTGACACTGCAACTACTGTAACTACAACAGCTCAGACAACTCCAACATCAACTGAAACTACAACTACCGTAACTACAACAGCTCAAACAACTCAAACATCAACTGACACTGCAACTACTGAAACTACAACAGCTCAGCCAACTCCAACATCAACTGACACTACAACTACCGTAACTACAACAGCTCAGCCAACTCAAACATCAACTGACACTGCAACTACTGAAACTACAACAGCTCAGCCAACTCAAACATCAACTGATACTGCAACTACTGAAACTACAACAGCTCAGCCAACTCAAACATCAACTGATACTGCAACTACTGAAACTACAACAGCTCAGACAACTGGAACATCAACTGACACTGCAACTACTGAAACTACAACAGCTCAGCCAACTCAAACATCAACTGACACTGCAACTACTGAAACTACAACACCTCAGCCAACTCAAACATCAACTGACACTGCAACTACTGAAACTACAACAGCTCAGACAACTGGAACATCAACTGACACTGCAACTACTGAAACTACAACAGCTCAGCCAACTCAAACATCAACTGACACTGCATCTACTGAAACTACAACAGCTCAGCCAACTCAAACATCAACTGACACTGCAACTACTGAAACTACAACAGCTCAGCCAACTCAAACATCAACTGACACTACAACTACTGAAACTACAACAGCTCAGACAACTCAAACATCAACTGACACTGCAACTACTGACACTGCAACTACTGAAACTACAACAGCTCAGACAACTCCAACATCAACTGACACTACAACTACCATAACTACAACACCTCAGCCAACTGAAACATCAACTGACACTGCAACTACAGTAACTACAACAGCTCAGCCAACTCAAACATCAACTGACACTGCAACTACAACAGCTCAGACAACTCAAACATCAACTGACACTGCAACTACTGAAACTACAACAGCTCAGACAACTCCAACATCAACTGACACTACAACTACTGTAACTACAACACCTCAGCCAATTCAAACATCAACTGACACTGCAACTAAAACAGCTCAGACAACTCAAACATCAACTGACACTGCAACTACTGAAACTACAACAGCTCAGACAACTCCAACATCAACTGACACTGCAACTACTGAAACTACAACAGCTCAGACAACTCCAACATCAACTGACACTACAACTACTGTAACTACAACAGCTCAGCCAACTCAAACATCAACTGACACTGCAACTACTGAAACTACAACAGCTCAGCCAACTCAAACATCAACTGACACTACAACTACTGTAACTACAACAGCTCAGTCGACTCAAACATCAACTGACACTGCAACTACTGAAACTACAACAGCTCAGACAACTCCAACATCAACTGACACTACAACTACCGTAACTACAACAGCTCAGCCAACTGAAACATCAACTGACACTGCAACTACTGAAACTACAACACCTCAGCCAACTCAAACATCAACTGACACTACAACTACAGTAACTACAACAGCTCAGCCAACTCAAACATCAACTGACACTACAACTACTGAAACTACAACACCTCAGCCAACTCAAACATCAACTGACACTACAACTACCGTAACTACAACAGCTCAGCCAACTGAAACATCAACTGACACTGCAACTACTGAAACTACAACAGCTCAGACAACTGAAACATCAACTGACACTGCAACTACTGTAACTACAACAGCTCAGCCAACTGAAACATCAACTGACACAGCAACTACTGAAACTACAACAGCTCAGACAACTCAAACATCAACTGACACTACAACTACTGAAACTACAACACCTCAGCCAACTCAAACATCAACTGACACTACAACTACCGTAACTACAACAGCTCAGCCAACTGAAACATCAACTGACACTGCAACTACTGAAACTACAACAGCTCAGACAACTGAAACATCAACTGACACTGCAACTACTGAAACTACAACAGCTCAGACAACTGAAACATCAACTGACACTGCAACTACTGAAACTACAACAGTTCAGACAACTGAAACATCAACTGACACTGCAACTACAGTAACTACAACAGCTCAGCCAACTCAAACATCAACTGACACTACAACTACTGAAACTACAACAGCTCAGCCAACTCCAACATCAACTGACACTGCAACTACCGTAACTACAACAGCTCAGCCAACTCAAAAATCAACTGACACTGCAACTACAACAGCTCAGACAACTCAAACATCAACTGACACTGCAACTACAACAGCTCAGACAACTCAAGCATCAACTGACACTGCAACAACAGTAACTACAACAGCTCAGCCAACTCAAACATCAACTGACACTGCAACTACAACAGCTCAGCCAACTCAAACATCAACTGACACTGCAACTACAGTAACTACAACAGTTCAGCCAACTCAAACATCAACTGACACTGCAACTACTGGAACTACAACAGCTCAGACAACTCAAACATCAACTGACACTGCAACTACTGGAACTACAACAGCTCAGACAACTCCAACATCAACTGACACTGCAACTACAGTAACTACAACAGCTCAGCCAACTCAAACATCAACTGACATTGCAACTACTGGAACTACAACAGCTCAGCCAACTCCAACATCAACTGACACTCCAACTACTGAAACTACAACAGCTCAGCCAACTCCAACATCAACTGACACTGCAACTACAGTAACTACAACAGCTCAGACAACTCCAACATCAACTGACACTGCAACTACAGTAACTACAACAGCTCAGACAACTCAAACATCAACTGACACTGCAACTACAACAGCTCACACAACTCAAACATCAACTGACATTGCAACTACTGGAACTACAACAGCTCAGACAACTCCAACATCAACTGACACTGCAACTACAGTAACTACAACAGCTCAGCCAACTCAAACATCAACTGACACTGCAACTACAACAGCTCAGACAACTCCAACATCAACTGACACTGCAACTACAGTAACTACAACAGCTCAGCCAACTCCAACATCAACTGACACTGCAACTACAGTAACTACAACAGCTCAGACAACTCAAACATCAACTGACACTGCAACTACAACAGCTCAGACAACTCCAACATCAACTGACACGACAACTACCGTAACTACAACAGCTCAGCCAACTCAAACATCAACTGACACTACAACTACAACAGCTCAGCCAACTCCAACATCAACTGACACTGCAACTACAGTAACTACAACAGCTCAGACAACTCAAACATCAACTGACACTGCAACTACAACAGCTCAGACAACTCCAACATCAACTGACACGACAACTACCGTAACTACAACAGCTCAGCCAACTCAAACATCAACTGACACTGCAACTACAACAGCTCAGACAACTCAAACATCAACTGACACTACAACTACAACAGCTCAGCCAACTCCAACATCAACTGACACTACAACTACCGTAACTACAACAGCTCAGCCAACTCAAACATCAACTGACACTACAACTACAACAGCTCAGACAACTCCAACATCAACTGACACTGCAACTACAGTAACTACAACAGCTCAGCCAACTCCAACATCAACTGACACTGCAACTACAGTAACTACAACAGCTCAGACAACTCAAACATCAACTGACACTGCAACTACAACAGCTCAGACAACTCAAACATCAACTGACACTGCAACTACAACAGCTCAGACAACTCAAACATCAACTGACACTGCAACTACAACAGCTCAGCCAACTCCAACATCAACTGACACTGCAACTACAGTAACTACAACAGCTCAGCCAACTCCAACATCAACTGACACTGCAACTACAGTAACTACAACAGCTCAGACAACTCAAACATCAACTGACACTGCAACTACAACAGCTCAGACAACTCAAACATCAACTGACACTGCAACTACAACAGCTCAGACAACTCAAACATCAACTGACACTGCAACTACAACAGCTCAGCCAACTCCAACATCAACTGACACTACAACTACAACAGCTCAGCCAACTCCAACATCAACTGACACTACAACTACCGTAACTACAACAGCTCAGCCAACTCAAACATCAACTGACACTGCAACTACAACAGCTCAGCCAACTCCAACATCAACTGACACTACAACTACCGTAACTACAACAGCTCAGCCAACTCAAACATCAACTGACACTGCAACTACAACAGCTCAGACAACTCAAACATCAACTGACACTGCAACTACAACAGCTCAGCCAACTCCAACATCAACTGACACTACAACTACCGTAACTACAACAGCTCAGCCAACTCAAACATCAACTGACACTACAACTACTGTAACTACAACAGCTCAGCCAACTCAAACATCAATTGACACTACAACTACTGTAACTACAACACCTCAGCCAACTCCAACATCAACTGACACTGCAACTACAGTAACTACAACAGCTCAGACAACTCAAACATCAACTGACACTGCAACTACAACAGCTCAGCCAACTCCAACATCAACTGACACTACAACTACCGTAACTACAACAGCTCAGCCAACTCAAACATCAACTGACACTACAACTACAACAGCTCAGCCAACTCCAACATCAACTGACACTACAACTACCGTAACTACAACAGCTCAGACAACTCAAACATCAACTGACACTGCAACTACAACAGCTCAGCCAACTCCAACATCAACTGACACTACAACTACCGTAACTACAACAGCTCAGCCAACTCAAACATCAATTGACACTACAACTACCGTAACTACAACAGCTCAGCCAACTCAAACATCAACTGACACTACAACTACTGTAACTACAACAGCTCAGCCAACTCCAACATCAACTGACACTACAACTACTGTAACTACAACAGCTCAGCCAACTCAAACATCAACTGACACTACAACTACTGTAACTACAACACCTCAGCCAACTCAAACATCAACTGACACTACAACTACCGTAACTACAACAGCTCAGCCAACTCAAACATCAACTGACACTACAACTACCATAACTACAACACCTCAGCCAACTCAAACATCAACTGACACTACAACTACCGTAACTACAACACCTCAGCCAACTCAAACATCAACTGACACTACAACTACTGAAACTACAACAGTTCAGCCAACTCAAACATCAACTGACACTACAACTACTGTAACTACAACAGTTCAGCCAACTCAAACATCAACTGACACTACAACTAGAGACACTGCAGCTACGACTTCTTCCCCTGTAACTGTAACGACAGCACAACCTACTTCTACAGCTGAAATAACGGTCACAACTCCTTTAACCTCTACAATTCTAGTTAGGTTTTCCAGCAATGAAGATTTTGTGCAAGAACTGTCAAATCCATTATCAGATGAATTTAAAAACAGAGAAGACAAAGTCGTGAAAGAAGTAAGTTGTATGATCAATGTTTAAGGCACAGAACCCTGATATTAATATTAGTGTAAACTATCCTATATTTTTTAGTGTCCAGATGTATATCAATTTGCTGTTATTTTAATAATTTCTAGTCCAGATTTTACTTTCACTACTTAATAGTGGTGTGATCCGTTAAGTAGTAAAAGTAAAATCTGGAAATTAAAAAATTACAAAACTTACAGTGCATATCATATCACGTTTTTTGAGTCACGGATGGAATAATTTTATGGATCAGCAAAAACAAACAAAAAAAGGTTTAAAGTTAGGTAGATGCACACAAACACAAAGATGAAGGCAGTAGGTAGTATTTTGTTTCGCATGTGTCCCCTTAAATGCAAATGAGCTCCTGCTCTCGACACCGAGGGCGGAGCTTCAAGAGTTAGCAGCTCCGATTACCTCATGCAGACACTCACTAAAATGTCAGACACTATTCAGCCCTTAATATTTAAACTGGAGTCGGACAATGATGGAGAGAAGAGAAGTGACAACATGTAGAATGCAACAAGACATTTCTGAATGGTTAGTTGATGAATTTATGTTGCTGAAGTGAAGTTAACGATCTGACCAATCACAGCAGACTAGGCCATCTGACCAATCACAGCAGACTGGGCCATCCGACCAATCAATGCAGAGAAGGCTTGCAGAAATGAGGGGTTTAGAGAGACTTAATTTTTAAACTGTGTCTAAAATTTCAAACTAAATGTTGAACCTGACATTGTGAATCTGTTTTCCACAGCTTACGCCAATCTTTGGAAATGCATTCGGTAGCTCCTTCGTTAAATTGAAAGTCATTTCGTTCCGGTGGGTATTTCTTTCTATTTTTGTAAAACATATTTTTTGTTGTTTTTAAAAAGAGTCTAAATATAAATAAATATTTTGCTTTAGTGGACAAGTTAGAAATAACAATTTTAGATTTCCAGACATTCCTATTATAACAGTTGTAATAGTTCAGTGATATTTTTATATGAACAAGAAGTCTTACAACAGAAGACGTGCACCACACAAAGATCTGATCCCATTATCCAGTCAATCTGGAAATACATGGAAGACACAGAAACAACTGAGGCTAAACCCATAAATTCATAGAATGGCAACTTCTCCAACTTTAAAAACTCATCGGAAAGAGTTGTTTTGAAGGCAAAGTGTGGTCACACCAACCACTGACTTGATTTGCTGAATAGACTTTAACTTTTAAACAGTGCAGTAATTCGCTGGCAGGTTGTTCCAGCATCTTGGAAAGGCTTTCACATTTCTTCGGATGTCGGTTTAGTCTTAGGCTAGTTGCTTGTGTCTGTTCATGTAATCCCAGACAGATTGAATGATCATGAGATCTCAGTGTGGGCTGTAGTACCATCAAACATGTCAATATTATTCCAAAACTTGCAAAAGGAATTTTTAAATCTAAAATTCTACTGGTACACCAAGGCAAAAGATATTAGCAACTGTCAAATGTTTTTTTTTTACTTAAGACTTGTATAAAACCACAAGATAACAATGATGGCTGCATGAACACTTCACCAAATGCCTACAAGAGTTTGTGCACGGAGTCTTACATTTAAAACAATGACAATAACTCTTTCTCTTCCCCGTCCCTTCTGTAGTTCTGGATCAATCATCACTGATATGGACGTAACATTTAGAACCGTACCCACTGAAGACGATATAACCAATGCCATTGTAAACGGAAACAGCACTCTTAACATCACCAGTGTTGACGGTAAGTTAAACAAGCAATATCATCAATGCAATGCCATTCAAAATGGGTTGGAAGGCTTTATTTTCCTCTTTATTGTTATTAAACTATAGTTTTTTGTAATTGCTTTCTATACACTATTTCTTGGGGATTTTGCTGAAGATTAATAGTTTTCTCAACTGTTATTTTTATATAACTTTGTTCTTCAAATTATCCAAACACACAACAGTAAATCCACTCAACACAACTACCAAAGCCACTACAACCAGTCCCACTACAACTACAACTACAACCAGTCCTACTACAACTACAACTACAACCAGTCCCACTACAACTACAACCAGTCCTACTACAACTACAACTACAACCAGTCCCACTACAACTACAACTACAACCAGTCCCACTACAACTACAACCAGTCCCACTACAACTACAACTACAACCAGTCCCACTACAACTACAACTAGTCCCACTACAACTACAACCAGTCCTACTACAACTACAACTACAACCAGTCCCACTACAACTACAACCAGTCCCACTACAACTACAACCAGTCCCACTACAACTACAACCAGTCCTACTACAACTACAACTACAACCAGTCCCACTACAACTACAACCAGTCCCACTACAACTACAACCAGTCCCACTACAACTACAACTACAACCAGTCCCACTACAACTACAACCAGTCCCACTACAACTACAACTACAACCAGTCCCACTACAACTACAACTAGTCCCACTACAACTACAACCAGTCCTACTACAACTACAACTACAACCAGTCCCACTACAACTACAACCAGTCCCACTACAACTACAACCAGCCCTACTACAACTACAACCAGTCCCACTACAACTACAACTAGTCCCACTACTACTACAACCAGTCCTACTACAACTACAACCAGTCCCACTACAACTACAACCAGTCCTACTACAACTACAACCAGTCCTACTACAACTACAACTACAACCAAACCAACCACCACCACCACAAAAACAACAACAACAACAACGCCCACCACCACCACCACCACCACAAAACCAACAACAACAACAACAACGCCCACCACCACCACCACCACATTGGCACCACGTCCTCTGCCATCAGTAGCCATTCAGATTGTCATTATTGTGATATTTATTCCAGAACTTGAAAACCCACAAAGTCCAGAATTTAAGACCCTAGCCACACAGGTTGAGAGTGCGGTAAGTTTCAAACGGCAGAACGTCCATCCATTCTCCAAAACTGCTTATCTTCTGTAGGGTTGAGGGAACTGTAGAACAACATACATATATGTATGCATGTATGTATGTGTGTATGTGTCTATGTGTGGTAGCATTTGCAAAGATAAAAATATGAAGTATTTTAAAATGTTTCATGATTTTAAATGCTTATTTTTTCTCTTTTTTAATAGTAGTACAACTTTAAAGGAAAGTCTAAACTTGGTTTCAAATATTCATCTTTATTAGCACACTTGTTTAATTAGAAAGTGTAATTGTTTGATTTTCATAGAATTTTTTACAACATTCCTAAAGCTGACTCACTGTTTTTACAGTTCGATGAGGTCTATAAAAAGAAGTATGGGGAACTTTTCATCAGAACCATCGTGATTGCTTTCAGGTAAGTTAAAAGTTTGCCTTATTACTTAAATTATTTATTTATGAAATTTGATTGGGATGCACGATATCTGCCACCATATTGGTATTGGCTAAGATATGTTTATGTTATCGTTATAGGCGATAACGCTAATGAAAAGAAAATTTGGCCGATGTATTAAAGCAAATAAATAATGTATTATTTCCTTCAGCTGAAACTCTTCATGCAACATGATGATTTTAAACAGATTGAAATATGATTGGAATTAGGGCTGAACGATTTTGGCTAAAATCATAATTGCAATTAATCGAACAAGTTACCTTGATTACATGGAATGATTATTCTTTTTTTCATTGGCAAGGCTTAAACTGTAAATATGTTCACATTATTTGTTTCTAATGAAAGAGTGCATCTTTGTGAATCTAAAATAAGGAAGCACACAGATACCTTTTAATGCTTAATTATTAAATATTTCGAACAGTTGAATCAAACAAAGTAAACAATGAAATAAAAACGTCTTATAAAAAGTCATAAAGTTATAATGTAAAAAGCAAGTTTCTAAAAAATGTAGACAATAGTTATTGTTGTAAACAACAAAAAAATTGTAAATATTGCCATCTTAAAACTTGTATAAAACTAAAAAAACTAATCCTTTTCATATTGTGTAGCATTTGTAAATGCTTGTGTTATCTGCTTTGTGGAGTGGAGGCATTTGTTGCTAGGCGTTTCTCTGGGCGTCTCTCTCTTTTATCGTGTGTTTTTTTGGTACATGCGGCTCCTGTTGCGGAGTTGACTCAGTGTTTGACTTCCCTTTCACACAGAGATTCCGAAAAATACACTGATAAAGTGACCCGGGATTTGAACCAGGTTCGTTTGACTTTGGTTCATTCACACTGTCAGTGATTTTCGGGAATCAGAGAGTGTGTTCACACACAACCAGCAAAGACACGTGACATGTCTCAGCGGCGTCGATAGTTTGCTAATGAGCTGCGATTTCTCCCTCGAGAAACCACGTCTGTGCATTTTTTTTTCCTGATTTGAGCATAAACTAGCGCATTAAGTACCGTTTCAGCAGTGTTGCCACAGTTACTTTGAAAAAGTAACTAAGTTATTTTACAAGTTACTTGATTTTTAAAGTAACTAAGTTACTTTACAAGTTACTTGATTTTAAAAGTAACTAAGTTACTTACAAGTTACTTTTATTAGTTACATTCAGCAGTTGCCGACAACACACCCTCAACATAACGACCTCAACATAAAAAAAACACACGACGTCAACATAAAAATTATAACCGGTTTTGCCAACATTCACTTTATTGGAAGTGTATTTTTAACAGTAACATCAACAATCTATCTCCTGTCATTGAAAGTTTAGCTTAAAAACTATTTCCTGAAAAAAACATGTTTTACAAAAAAAAAAAAAAAAAAACAGTCTTTCTTGACTTAACTTAAGTCTTTCTTCACCTCACTTAACATAAATACTTGTTTTTATAAAAAATAAAATAAAGACAGCCTTTCTTGTCTTCACTTAACATAAATACTTTTTAATACTTTAAAATTTTAAATATAGACTATAAAATTTCTTGACCTGACATATTTAACAGTTAACACTTTGACAAAACTTACTATTTATAATCTGCATTTTTTATTTTTTTATCTTTATTTTTTATCTTATGTTTAATCCCATGTTATGAGTTAATGAGAGAGGCGAGTAAAACCAGTGGTTGTACATCATTAACAGAAGCTTCTCAAACCTCTCGGGTTGAAACGAAGGTGACCGTGTTTAATCGCAGCATTTCCTCCACAACAAACTGCCCGACCAACTTCTTCAACTCCCCCCACTTACTGGTTTTGCAACGAAGTCCAGGTTTTGCTTTTGTGGTGGGGAACCTGCTCTCTGCTTCGCATCACCTGGCGTGACTTGCTCTGTAAGTTTGGCTGTGCGGTGCTGCGAATCCAAATGTTTTTTGTTTGTTTTGGTAAATTTGACGAAGTGTTTCTGTAGGTAGATAACACTTTGTCACCGCCAGCAGTTTACAACGGACCTTAATGTTGCCGTCTTTAGCTGAGACAAACTCAAAATAGTGACTGTATTTCCAGCTAGAAAAAGCGCATCTCTCTCCTCCCTCCAACGTTGTTTACATTTGTGTCGCTGCGTGCGTGGTACACGTGACGTGAACCTCATGCTGAAAACGTGACTTGTCGCGCACACTCCCCGAGATGCAAGAAGAAATAAATATATGTATTTACTAAGGAAAATTACAAAAATAGTAACGCACAGTGACCTGGATAAGTAACTTTAATCTGATTACTGGTTTCGAAATAGTAACGCGTTATATTACTCGTTACTGAAAAAAGGGGTCAAATTAGAATAACGCGTTACTTAGTAACGCGTTACCGGCATCACTGCGTTTCAGATTGGGGAACGATCCCGGCTTAAGCGGCATCCTTACGACACGGCATTGATTATGGCTTTTGTTCACGCAACAACTGAACAATCCGGGACTGAACACGACGATGTTACCATGTCCCCAAACTGGCATCAATCCCAGGTCGTGTTTGTGTTCACACAGGAGGTGTTTTTCTGGCAATTTCCTGGGTTCAACACGCTAAAACAACTTGAGGCGCTTTTCCACTGCATAGTACGGTACGGTTCGGTTCGGTACGTCTCACTTGTGGTGCTTTTCCACTGCATGGTACGGTACAGTACGGTTCGCTTCAGGTCGCTTTAAATGGTACCTGGTCTGTTGAGGTTCCAAGCGTACCGTACCGGTACTAAAATGTGACGTGAAACACTGCAGATCACTGATTGGTCAGACAGAATCGTCACTACCAGCGTCACTACTAGCGTCATTGGATTTGCGACACGAGACACTTTTTTAGCAGTATTTTTGTTTTGCTGCCATCAGCCTCATTTTAAACACATTTTTCCGTCTAGCAGTTAAAAACAACCACATACCGAGAATCAGGAACACCATCCCCTCGATAGTCTCCATTGTTCCTGTGTTGTGGGTTTGAAAATGTGGCGCTTTTAAGATGATGTCATGGCAGTAGAGGCGCGCGCAAATAACGATCAGTCCCACACACTTTGAAGGGGTACTACTGCGGTGGAAACGCAAAGCGATCCGAACTGTTCCGCTCCGAGTCGAAGCGTACTGAGCCGAACCGTACCGTACTATGCAGTGGAAAAGCGCCATTGCATTTAATGTAATATGTTCCATCAGTACTTACATTGGAACGAGTGGAACTTTGGAACTTTGCCACTGCGAGCGTGAAACTACTTTTTCGTGAAACTACGATTTCTCCTTCTTTTTGAATTAAGTTTATTTTGCTTTGGTAAGCATTTATGGTTGTGTGGTTAGTTGCATTTATGGTTAGTTGCACTGTATATCTGGACACAGTTATTATAATCTCTTGTTTTTCATTTCAGAGCCGTTGGCAGAACCCGAGCAGAGACAAATGTCCAGGCAGATGTTGATTTAGTGTTTAGTGAAAAGTCAACCGAACCCATTCCCTCCGCCACTTCCATTGTGGAGACGCTGAAAGAAGCAGCTACAGCTCCGAGCTTCAACCTCACCATCGACCCCACCACTGTTACTGTCATCAGTAAGTCTAGTCATCACGCTCCATCTACTCATCTGATATGCCCAATTGCTTGGAAATGTACCATGTTGACTTGCCTAGAAAACTCTGTGCAACATTGATGCCTTTTCAAATCTTTTTTCAGAATCACTGCAGATAATTCCAGTGACCATCGTGACTAACGGCACCTTTGTGGCTGCTCTTTCAAATACAAGTTCAACTGAATATCAGGACAGGGCTACGATGATAAAATTGGGGGTAGGTGTGATGCGTTTTTGGGTTATTTCAGCAAACAAGTTTATGCCAATTTAGTCTAAACAACTCTCCTATTTGTTGCAGCTTGAACCTTTTTTCTTTGTCGATTACCCATCATTCAGAATCTTAACATTAACAAACTTCAGGTATGCATGTGTGTGTTTGCTTGTGTGTTCTTGAATACAACGTTTGACATATTGCATTCAGTTTTATTGAATGAATTTTAATTTAAAACTCCCTCCAGTAATGCCAGTGTAAAAACAAGGAGTGTACCCACGATCCGAAACTCCATGGATCTCGCATTTGGAGCGAACGGCGCTCTACCCAACAGCACCCAGATAGTGAACACTATAGTTAAAGCCGCCAGAAAAAACTCCATAGCCTTCCAGATCTTCACATCTGAAATTGTGATAAACGGCACAGGTAAGTGTTGCACTCAAATCTTTTTGCTCAGATGAGTATTTATTCTTTGATAACTTCACTCATATCAATGCAGGATAGTGTACATTCTAAAAAATACTGGGTTGTTTCAACCCAAATTTGGGTCAAATATGGACAAACCCAAATGTTGGGTCAAAAATGTAATTTAAAATTTTAACCCAACTTCCAACTTTCACTTTTAACTTTTTAATTACATTTTTTAAATTACATTTCAACTCTATAGTGGAGTTGGGTAGGTTTAGGGATCAGGGGGTGGAGCTGGGTAGGTTTAGAGGTGTGTTTAGCGATTAGGGGGTGGAGCTGGGTAGGATTAGGGGTGGGTTTAAGGATTAGGGGGTGGAGCTGGGTAGGTTTAGGTTTAGTATTGTGATGTTAATCCAACTAGGGCCATTAAAAACAGATATCCCCCCGGACAACACTTTTGGCCACATTGTGTTCCCAATTAAAACGAGCAGAAGAAAAGGACTTTCTATCTGAAGGAATGCGGACTGTATGCAGAGAGAGAATGGACCTGATGTTTCTACTGTTCAGTGAATGATAACTTGTGTGTTTTTTCTCCTGGACGCAGTGTTTTCATCCGCTGAAGTGAGCAGCAGGATCAGTGTGTTGACCGCCGTACTCCTGGTGGCGGCGGCGCTTCTGCTCTCGAGGTTTGATTGACCATAACTACACATCCACGAGAGACGGGTCTGAATGAAGCCTTCAGCGTCTGCTCAAGCGAAGGACTCAAACCTAATAATGAGCGTGCTATAATCTTATTCTGTTCTGTATATTCCTGTGTTTTATAGATTAGGGTTGGAAGAACGTTGTGCGTTTATGTACAGTCAGTTTTATTTGATAGATACTTAAATTCACAACACTGGTCAGTCAAAATCTTCCATGGACTATTTCATTTGACCAGAACTACTCCATATAGATGAAAATACTCCACATATTAAAACTGAAAGAGAAGATAAACACTACTATGTCCTGACAGATGGAAAAGGTTCACTTAAAAATGATTCATATCTTCAAAGGCGTCTCACACACACATCTTTATCTCATGCACACACATACTCTAGTCGTGGAAACGCTGGCTGACTTTGAAGAGCCCGAAACGAGACAGGGTTTGGTAAGAAAAAGGATGAAGTATTTCAAAGATTATGAAACCTGTAAAACAGCATGGAAGAATGTTAAAAATTTGCAGGATATGACTCAGAGATGGCTGAGGGAAAACACATGGATAAGAAGATTATTAATAAGAAGAATATTACATAACATAAACCTGTACATAGCCAAACTCTTCAACTCTTCATGTTTTATACACAAATTATCTGTATGATACAAGTATTTTCTAAATTATTTATTTAAATTAAGAAAAATAATCTATATTTCTGATGTAAATGCAATGCTAAAGGTGTTTTCTGTGAATTGTATTGCTGTATTGTTCACACTGGATGTGGTAATAACAGTTATTATGTAGGCTATGAAGTTATATTTATCACTTGCGAAATAAACTCTGGTGACCAGTATTAGAATGGCCATAAAAAACAACAACAATAATAAAAAGAGTCATTGTATTATTATTTCTTCTCTCAGTGATCACATTTTCATGTATCGCCCGTCCAGTTATATCTACGAATCATAAAGCATGTGATATGGAAATGATTACAAAACATTATCAGTTGACACCCAGAAATGTCACCATTCACACACACACACACACACACACACACACACACACACACATCATTCTAATTCACACAAACACACACGCATGTCATTCAATGCTCATAGACATAAAAACACGCATGTCTATAAGCGTGAAAGACACACACACACACACACACACACAAATGGAAGTCATGGGAATGAATGTCCAAACACACCCCTTATTGTTCCATGAAAGAAAGAAAGAAAGAAAGAAAGAAAGAAAGAAATGAATCTGTGATCTGTTCATTCTCTCAAACCTTTATTTGCCAGTCAAAAGTGCAGAGAAAAGACTTCCAATGTTTTCACGAACGGCTTTATTGTATGTTGTAAATGTAAACACATTTTGATTTGAATGGGTTGAACACACTCCCAAAACGTTGGCATGTTCTCTTTTACTTTTATTTCCAGTTTTATCATTCTGCAGCAGTTAGTGTCTTCATCCATCCATCCTGTGAATAATAAATGTGTATCATTTTAATTTGCTCGTTACACAATGGAGCCTAACTTATTGTAATCATTATCTGCCGTATAACCTACTTTTACACTCGTGCTGAACTGCACGGCGCCGAGTTACGCTATTGTGAATGTATGACACGCCAATTCGTATTTACAAACCCGATTCCGAAAAAGTTGGGACACTGTACAAATTGTGAGTAAAAAAGAATGGAATAATTTAGAAATCTCATAAACTTATATTTTATTCACAATAGAATATAAATTACATATCAAATGTTGAAAGTGAGACATTTTGAATTGCCATGCCAAATATTGGCTCCTTTTGGATTTCATGAGAGCTACAAATTCCAAAAAAGTTGGGACAGGTAGCAATAAGAGGCCAGAAAAGTTAAATGTACATATAAGGAACAGCTGGAGGACCAATTTGCAACTTATTAGGTCAATTGGCAACATGATTGGGTATAAAAAGAGCCTCTCAGAGTGGCAGTGTCTCTCAGAAGTCAAGATGGGCAGAGGATCACCAATTCCCCCAATGCTGAGGCAAAAAATAGTGGAGCAATATCAGAAAGGAGTTTCTCAGAGAAAAATTGCAAAGAGTTTGAAGTTATCATCATCAACAGTGCATAATATCATCCAAAGATTCAGAGAATCTGGAACAATCTCTGTGCGTAAGGGTCAAGGCCGGAAAACCATACTGAATGCCCGTGATCTTCGGGCCCTGCATCACACACAGGAATGCTACTGTAATGGAAATCGCAACATGGGCTCAAGAATACTTCCAGAAAACATTGTCAGTGAACACAATCCACCGTGCCATTCACCGTTGCCGGCTAAAGCTCTATAGGTCAAAAAAGAAGCCATATCTAAACGGGAACCAGAAGCGCAGGCGTTTTCTCTGGGCCAAGGTTCATTTAAAGTGGACTCTAGCAAAGTGGAAAACTGTTCTGTGGTCAGACGAATCAAAATTTGAAGTTCTTTTTGGAAAACTGGGACGCCATGTCATCCGGACTAAAGAGGACAAGGACAACCCAAGTTGTTATCAGCGCTCAGTTCAGAAGCCTGCATCTCTGATGGTATGGGGTTGCATGAGTGCGTGTGGCATGGGCAGCTTACACATCTGGAAAGGCACCATCAATGCTGAAAGGTATATCCAAGTTCTAGAACAACATATGCTCCCATCCAGACATCGTCTCTTTCAGGGAAGACCTTGTATTTTCCAACAAGACAATGCCAAACCACATACTGCATCAATTACAACATCATGGCTGCGTAGAAGAAGGATCCGGGTACTGAAATGGCCAGCCTGCAGTCCAGATCTTTCACCCATAGAAAACATTTGGCGCATCATAAAGAGGAAGATGCAACAAAGAAGACCTAAGACAGTTGAGCAGCTAGAAGCCTTTATTAGACAAGAATGGGACAACATTCCTATTCCTAAACTTGAGCAACTTGTCTCCTCAGTCCCCAGACGTTTGCAGACTGTTATTAAAAGAAGAGGGGATGCCACACAGTGGTAAAAATGGCCTTGTCCCAACTTTTTTGAGATGTGTTGATGCCATGAAATTTAAAATCAACTTATGTTTCCCTTAAAATTATGCATTTTCTCAGTTTAAACATTTGATATGTCATCTGTGTTGTTTTCTAAATATAATATTGAAATTTTAAACTTCCGCATCATTGCATTCTGTTTTTATTCACAATTTGTACAGTGTCCCAACTTTTATGGAATTCGGTTTGTACATTTTCGGCGTGCTATCAACATGCATAATCACTTTTCAGCGTGTTTATGAACGCTGTTGACTTAACGTTTTTATTGTATATATAAATATATGACCTACCCCAACCCCGTCCCTAAAACCACCCGTCACTGGGGTTAATAGCATTTATGAGTCTTCCCCTACCATCCTTGGAAAAAAAAAAGATCGCTCCCCAGATGTAGATCTACATTTTGCTTCGTTTCGCTTGGACATTTAATGGCGTGTACAGACACGCGGAATCACTCGGACATTAACGGCGACATACACGCGGATAGCTCAAAATGCGTAGAGATAACACGCCACTTGACTCGAAAGTGGCGTGTATTTTTTACTCGGATGGTAGGGGAAGACTCATAAATGCTATTAACCCCAGTGACGGGTAGGTTTAGGGATGGGGTTGGGGTAGGTCATATATTTATATATACAACGGCATTCATTAACACGCTGAAAAGCGATTATGCGTGTTGATAGCACGCCAAAAATGTAAATGCGAATTGGCGCGTCATTTGTCCAAAGCGACTTCCAATTGCTATATATGTCAGAGGTCGCACGCCTCTGGAGACACTAGGGGTTAAGTGTCTTGCTCAGGGACACATTGGTGTCTCACAGTGGACTCGAACCCGGGTCTCTCACACCAAAGGCATGTGTCTTATCCACTGCGCCATCAACACCCCCCAATGGTGGGTCATGGCGCAAAACTTTGTGCCAGATATGGTGAGAGAATCATCACACAATTCAAAAATCACATTTCTCAATGCATTTTGCAAAGAGTTGAAGTCACCGATCCACATACATGAAAAGATAGAGGGAATCCGGAGAAACCTCAATCTAAAACTGGTTAGGATGAAGGTATGTTGTCTTTCCACTCTTCTTTGTATGTATGCAGTTTTCTCTTTCAGCTTTCCTCTTTGGACTTCTATTTGGCCATGGGTTTTATATATCCCACAAACAATTAAACAGCGCCATCTACTGAGTCTCAGCAGTAGTAGAGCCACAGTACTTCTCTCATCTAAACCCACACCGTACACGTTCAGTACATCAGAACAAACATATACTGAAGTGATGGAAGGCGAATTGTTCAAAGTCTTAAAATACAAAAGACTTGCATTACCTAAGTGCGTGATACCATTAAATACATTCATTTGAGTGATATCACACACTGGGTCGTCTCTCAATTGTAAGTTAAATTATTACATTGTTTAAATTAATACAATTTTCACTAACTGTGATTTTGCATAGGTCAATTTTTTTAAATATATCGTTAGACAGTCTCCCCTGATAACAGATCACTGTAAATTGTAATGTGGACTAAAAACCTTTTAAAAGGCAATTTTGTCACAGCACCGGATGACACAAACTTCAGGAATACAAGACTAAAATAGTCCAGGCTATAGAAAATATACCCAACTATGTAAAAAGAGTTCAAACTCTCGCCATCTTATACTTAAATGGTTACAAAGTAGAAATGCTGGACATCTGAACACAGCTAACTCTATGGCCACTTTTATTCATTCCCAGCGTATGAATTCTTGATATCAACCATTACATTTTCACTAGTTAAAAATTTGAAGAATTGGATTTCTACTAGTAACAATGGATATCTGTGATATCAGGAATTACTACATTTCAACTAACAAACTATAATTCTTCATGTTTGTATTTTCATTAGTTTAATGTAACCATAGGATGCCATTTAAATTCAGTTATTGATTACTAGTTAAAAATTCTAATTTTACATATCAGATATACAATTCTTACAAGTAAAAGTCCACATTTTTTATATCAATAATCGTAGCACTTTACAATAAGGTTTATTAGCTAACTTTAGTTAACTACGTTAGTTAACATGAACTAATAATGAATGAACAATACTTTTTTTTAATCATAGTTCATATTAATTTCAACATTTACTACTATGTTATTATAATCAAAGGTTGTATTTTAACATTAGATGATGCACTGTGAACTTACATGAACAAACAATAAACATTTTATACAGTTAATAAAATTTAAGATTAATAAATATAAACCTTATTGCAAAGTGCTACAAATAATTAGTTACTAGTAAAAATGTAAATTCTTGATATCAAGAACTCAATTTTCTGAAGTTCAAATTTTTATTCTTGATATAATGTAAATATAAATATGTAAAAATGTGAAAAGTCTAAAGGCAAAAGTTGTGTGGTGTATTCCAGCCTTTACAAAATACATTCCCAAGGAACAAACTAATATAATATAATATAATATAATATAATATAATATAATATAATATAATATAATATAATATAATATAATATAAGCAAACACATCAGCATTGTTTGTAAAATTCATGTTGTGAGGGTGTGAAATTTACCTAAAAATAAATCACTTAAACAGACATTCATTAACTAACTACTTAAGAGACTAACAATTAGAACAGCAACATTGATCTGTAAAAACATTGATCAATTCCCAGAGCAGTTTAAGGTGGAATGCAACAACAAAGCATCGGTAAAGAGCCTAACCACAAAAAGAAGAGCTTTGGAATGTTTAAGAATTCCACTTGACATTGAATGATGGTCTTCCTCATTTTTGTCCAATTGCTTGTCGTTGTGATAATGACACGGCTCATGACTCATAACAGAGGTAATAAAGCTGAATTTAAGCAAGAGATGTATGCACTTACCTTTGCCATGGGACTTACAGCCTGACCTGAGTTTATATCATTCACTGAACTGATCAGACGAATTGGGTGAGTTTGATTTTCTTTCTTACCTTCAAAATACTGATGGCACTTTTAGCCTTTTTAGGACGATAACTTACACATTAGATTGAAATAAGAATATAAAAGTCAATACTGTGTATTTTTAAATGTAAAAATAAATACATTTTGAAATGTACATCGTATTTTCAACGTAAATATAAGTCACTAGCTTAGGTGAGTAAAAAAAAAATTAATAATACATTTTAAAAAAATTGTCAGACAAAAAATCTTCCCAACAAACTAATTTCTACACCAACATATACAATATGAAGTCACAAAACTGTTCTGTAAAATTATTACAAGTTTTCTAAAATGTTGTGTTTAAATATGTGGATGAGGAATTGTCTAAATAAATACTAATGAATTGGCATACATTTCCATAACATAAATCTTGAACATAGGATAAAGTCAGGTTTAAAACTCTTAACATGTTGCAGTTAAAGGTTTTTACAGAGGGGTTTATGTGTATCTCTTTTTATAATTTTATTAAATCAGAAAATATTCTGAAGAGCCAGTAAAAAAAATATAATAAAAAAAGACTCACAATGTTTTTAGGAATAAAATATTATGTAAAATGTGAATGGTTTATGAACAAACCCCTCAGTAAAAACCTTCAGAATATAGATGAGAATAAAATTGTAAAGTTTGGTGTATGTAAGTGCTGCAGAAGTGGAAGAAAAAACCTTTCTTTAGCCTTTAAAGATATGCATTGCAAAAAACAAAAAACAAAAAAAAAAACACTTAAATGTGTATTTCAGATGTTTCTTTCTAGTCTGAAAGAAAAAAAATGTTATGGAAGCATGATGAATAGCTCAACAACAACAAAAATCTCAAAATTAATGCTTTTACCTGTCGCCTTAAGTCGAAACCGACACTTGACTCAACCAGACTCTCAAAGCAAGCAGAACCAGACGCACTTAAAGGGGAAATGAAGCAGTGAATCAAGTTTACATGATTTACAAGATGGATTTCCAATATAATCAACAATTATATAAGAAACATTACAAATGTAAACATTTAGAAGAAAAAAAGAAAAAAAACGTTGTATCTTTCGCCGCCAGGGCGCCGCCATTGTGCAGTTGACGTCACGGGGTTGGTTGGCTCAAGTTTAACAGGCTCTGGGCATTGAAAATCGCGACATAAAACTGTGTTTTCACCAGTGTTTTGACCGCGAACGACTAATGTTAGGTACAGTTATTAGACAAAAAGACGACGTCTTAGGGCTGGGCGATTTGGCCAAAAAATCATATCTCGATATTTTTTGGTCAAATGGCGATATACGATATATATCTCGGTACTTTCTACGTTTTCTATTTAGATAAAGAAAATCTTTATATTAAAAAAAAATATATATATATATATATATATATATACAGTATATTCACATTCGGCCCAATGATATCCTACAAACAATGTTGATATTGAAGGATATGGAAACAAATATAATATAGGCTATGCAATATATTATGTGCAAAAAGCTTTTGTTTTTATATTGACTAAAAGCTAAACTAAAAATGAAAATAAAAACAAAAACAAAAGCACAAACTATATATTAGCCTGCATTTGATTACCCCATTATAATCACTTTCACTTTCATTAAAAATATATACTTGTAGGTTTAAAATTCCACATATGGCACATTTATTTTCTCCAACAACAAATATTTTAGCAATATGTTTATTTTAGTCAGAATTATTGCGTACTACGTAGTACTATTCACGCGCATGCGCGCGCCGGCGCTCGTTCAAGGAAGCATGAATTTTAGCGGAGATTCACTTGCAGAAGCTCGTCCTCTTCTGACATGGACATATTTGTTGTGAAATGGACATATTTGCTTTACTTTCTAACATTTACAGATGGAGAATATGTGAAATGTAAGTTGAGCACTGAGGAAAGCACCACATCTCAAACGCATTAAACAGCGCAAGTCTGTCAGTCAGCAACAGTGTCTGTCAGAGCATTTGACAGGGCGGCAAGCTGCCTTAAACTTGTTAACTATATCAAAGTGATTTTGACGCAATTAATATAAGCTTGTGTCATGTTTAGGACAAATTGTACTACGTAGCCTATAGCTACTTTCACTGCAGCAGCTCACACTGCAACCTCCGCTATTTTTCAGATGTGCTCATATCAAACTACTGTATCGATATAAACGGTATTGCCTCATTCCATATCGTTTCAAAAAATATAACGATACATCGTACATATTCGATATATCGCCCAGCCCTACGACGTCTCATGTTATATGTTGACAAATTGCACATAGAAACATTGTTCGCGATGTCTGCCGTCAGATATTCCATGTAAGTTAGCATGTATTTGTTAAAGGGGAAATGAAACATCCATATTTTCGCACTGGTAGTGCTAGTAGTTACAGCCTACATATACTAGGAAAAAGTATATAAAAGTATATATATACTTCAGGGAAAGCATCGCTGCTTCCACACGTCTAACTCCCGGCACAGCATGGTAAACGTGCGCGCCGGTGATGCAGAATTGACCACGCAATACATGCTCAAGATCAACCTCTTGACAACAGATGGACTCTGACACGGAGGGCATCGCAGGACAACAGCCACACTGACACCTGGTAAGTTAGCGTTGCAAACCCGCTCTTCGCCCCAAACCACCACTGACTGTTCTACACAGCAACGTAACTTACATGTTGTTGACGAGACGGGAATATCTGACGGCAGACATCGTGAACAATGTTTCTATGTGCAGTTTGTCAACATATAACATTAGACGTCGTCTTTTTGTCTAATAACTGTACCTAACATTAGTCGTTCGCGGTCAAAACACTGGTGTAAACACAGTTTGATGTTGCGATTTTCAATGCCCAGAGCCTGTTAAACTTGAGCCAACCAACCCCGTGACGTCAACTGCACAATGGCGGCACCCTGGCGGCGAAAGATACAAAGTTTTTTCTTTTTTTCTTCTAAATGTTTACATTTGTAATGTTTCTTATATAATTGTTGATTATATTGGAAATCCATCTTGTAAATCATGTAAACTTGATTCACCGCTTCACTTCCCCTTTAAGTGCAAATGGAGCACAACATTTTATATTTATTAATATGTATTTTTTAATTATTCATAAACCCCAATCCAGTGGTAGGACATTTGACAGTTTGTGGGGTCCCGTTGAACTCAAGACAGTAACTGCAAAGTATCTAGGTCACACTAAGATAAAACTGCAGTATTAGAATGGGATGATAATGTTTCTCAACCCTTTTAGAGTCTCCTGAAGCACTGCATTTGTGAAAGGATAATTATCTGATCTAACACACCTCATTCAACCCATCAGCTCATTAGACAAGAACCAGACGTTTCAGATGGGAGATTCCCAGTGGGAATCGAGAAATTCTGGGCAATCCATTTATAGGGGAAAAAAAGTTATATGACGTCTATTTTTTGATACCTTCATTTATCTCTCATATGCTGTGTTTAATTCAATTCTGACAGCTATCAAGATGTGGAGAACAGCATTGACGACCACAATTTTTGTGTTAACAGGTTGGCCCAAGTTCATGTCTTTTCACATTAACATTGATTTTCATATTGTTCATCCCACTTTTTTTCATTTCTGTTTATGTAATGCACTTTATCTTACATTTTGTCTTTTTTAATAGCACATAGTTTTATCAGAGCTGAGCAAACAACTGATGTTACAGATGCCACAGACTCAACGGATGACTTCACAGCAGAACCAATTGTTCACAATGTAAATGTTTCTACGACCAACACAATTGATGGATTGCCCTCAGAAATGACCATTGAATCAATTACAAGTAAAACTGTTGAATCTATAACCGGTTTAACAGGTAAGTTACCTTTATCACACACAACTGCTTCAACTACCCAGAAAAGAATTTACAGAAATACATTTGTTACAGATGAATCAACCAATGATGACATAACGAAAAAGACAACAATGGAAGAATTTTCAACATCCTTGTTGGGAAACCCTACCATAGATCTTACAGATCATTCAACAGAGATACCACAATTTACAACAGAATTTACTGACAAATCACCAACAGATTTCACAGAAGCATCAGCCACTGATATTACTGATAAACCAGCAACCGCATTTACACTTGATTCATCAGAGGAGACTGAAATATCAACTATTGGAGTTTCATTTACTGATGAAATAACGACTGATGAGACACTGGAACCGATAACATCATTTCCATTAGACATACCTACAAGTGTAACAGAGATATCAACAGCATTTACAACAGATTCATCAGAGGAAGATTCAACAGAGGAAACTGAACCGTCAACTATTGGATTTACTGATGAATCAACTGCAATTACAAAACCCCAATCAACCACAAGAGTTACAGCTGGATTCACCTTAGAAGAATCAACTATAGACTTCACTGATGAGACACTGGAACCGATAACATCAATCACATCAGACATATCTACCAGTATCACTGAAATAATAACACCATTCACAACAGATTCATCAGAGGAAGATTCAACAGAGGAAACTGAACCGTCAACTATTGGATTTACTGATGAATCAACTGCAATTACAAAACCCCAATCAACCACAAGAGTTACAGCTGGATTCACCTTAGAAGAATCAACTATAGACTTCACTGATGAGACACTGGAACCGATAACATCAATCCCATCAGACATATCTACAAGTGTAACAGAGATATCAACACCATTCACAACAGATTCATCAGAGGAAGATTCAACAGAGGAAACTGAACTGTCCACTATTGGATTTACTGATGAATCAACTGCAATTACAAAACCCCTATCAACTACAAGAGTTACAGCTGGATTCACCTTAGAAGAATCAACTATAGACTTCACTGATGAGACACTGGAACCGATAACATCAATCCCATCAGACATATCTACAAGTGTAACAGAGATATCAACAGCATTTACAACAGATTCATCAGAGGAAGATTCAACAGAGGAAACTGAACCATCAACTATTGGATTTACTGATGAATCAACTGCAATTACAAAACCCCAATCAACTACAATAGTTACAGCTGGATTCACCTTAGAAGAATCAACTATAGACTTCACTGATGAGACACTGGAACCGATAACATCAATCCCATCAGACATATCTACAAGTTTTACTGGAATATCAACAGCATTTACAACAGATTCATCAGAGGAAGATTCAACAGAGGAAACTGAACCATCAACTATTGGATTTACTGATGAATCAACTGCAATTACAAAACCCCAATCAACTACAAGAGTTACAACTGGATTCACCTTAGAAGAAACTACTATAGACTTCACTGACGAGACACTGGAACCGATAACAGCATTCACATCAGACATATCTACAAGTTTTACTGGAATATCAACACCATTCACAACAGATTCATCAGAGGAAGATTCAACAGAGGAAACTGAACCATCCACTATTGGATTTACTGATGAATCAACTGCAACTACAAAACCCCAATCAACTACAAGAGTTACAACTGGATTCACCTTAGAAGAAACTACTATAGACTTCACTGATGAGACATTGGAACCGATAACATCAATCCTATCAGACACATCTACAAGTGTAACAGAGATATCAACACCATTCATAACAGATTCATCAGAGGAAGATTCAACAGAGGAAACTGAACCGTCCACTATTGGATTTACTGATGAATCAACTGCAATTACAAAACCACAATCAACTACAAGAGTTACAGCTGGATTCACCTTAGAAGAAACTACTATAGACTTCACTGACGAGACATTGGAACCGATAACATCAATCCCATCAGACATATCTACAAGTGTAACAGAGATATCAACACCATTCACAACAGATTCATCAGAGGAAGATTCAACAGAGGAAACTGAACCGTCCACTATTGGATTTACTGATGAATCAACTGCAATTACAAAACCACAATCAACTACAAGAGTTACAGCTGGATTCACCTTAGAAGAAACTACTATAGACTTCACTGACGAGACACTGGAACCGATAACATCAATCCCATCAGACATATCTACAAGTGTTACTGAAATATCAACAGCATTTTCAACAGATTCATCAGAGGAAGATTCAACAGAGGAAACTGAACCATCCACTATTGGATTTACTGATGAATCAACTGCAACTACAAAACCCCAATCAACTACAAGAGTTACAGCTGGATTCACCTTAGAAGAAACTACTATAGACTTCACTGATGAGACATTGGAACCGATAACATCAATCCCATCAGACACATCTACAAGTGTAACAGAGATATCAACACCATTCATAACAGATTCATCAGAGGAAGATTCAACAGAGGAAACTGAACCGTCCACTATTGGATTTACTGATGAATCAACTGCAATTACAAAACCCCAATCAACTACAAGAGTTACAGCTGGATTCACCTTAGAAGAAACTACTATAGACTTCACTGACGAGACATTGGAACCGATAACATCAATCCCATCAGACATATCTACAAGTGTAACAGAGATATCAACACCATTCACAACAGATTCATCAGAGGAAGATTCAACAGAGGAAACTGAACCGTCCACTATTGGATTTACTGATGAATCAACTGCAATTACAAAACCACAATCAACTACAAGAGTTACAGCTGGATTCACCTTAGAAGAAACTACTATAGACTTCACTGATGAGACACTGGAACCGATAACATCGATCCCATCAGACATATCTACAAGTGTAACAGAGATATCAACACCATTCATAACAGATTCATCAGAGGAAGATTCAACAGAGGAAACTGAACTGTCCACTATTGGATTTACTGATGAATCAACTGCAATTACAAAACCACAATCAACTACAAGCGTTACAACTGGATTCACCTTAGAAGAATCAACTATAGACTTCACTGATGAGACATTGGAACCGATAACATCAATCCCATCAGACATATCTACAAGTGTAACAGAGATATCAACACCATTCACAACAGATTCATCAGAGGAAGATTCAACAGAGGAAACTGAACCGTCCACTATTGGATTTACTGATGAATCAACTGCAATTACAAAACCACAATCAACTACAAGAGTTACAGCTGGATTCACCTTAGAAGAAACTACTATAGACTTCACTGACGAGACATTGGAACCGATAACATCAATCCCATCAGACATATCTACAAGTGTAACAGAGATATCAACACCATTCATAACAGATTCATCAGAGGAAGATTCAACAGAGGAAACTGAACCGTCCACTATTGGATTTACTGATGAATCAACTGCAATTACAAAACCACAATCAACTACAAGCGTTACAACTGGATTCACCTTAGAAGAATCAACTATAGACTTCACTGATGAGACATTGGAACCGATAACATCAATCCCATCAGACATATCTACAAGTGTAACAGAGATATCAACACCATTCACAACAGATTCATCAGAGGAAGATTCAACAGAGGAAACTGAACCGTCAACTATTGGATTTACTGATGAATCAACTGCAATTACAAAACCCCAATCAACTACAAGCGTTACAACTGGATTCACCTTAGAAGAATCAACTATAGACTTCACTGATGAGACATTGGAACCGATAACATCAATCCCATCAGACATATCTACAAGTGTAACAGAGATATCAACACCATTCACAACAGATTCATCAGAGGAAGATTCAACAGAGGAAACTGAACCGTCCACTATTGGATTTACTGATGAATCAACTGCAACTACAAAACCCCAATCAACTACAAGAGTTACAACTGGATTCACCTTAGAAGAAACTACTATAGACTTCACTGATGAGACATTGGAACCGATAACATCAATCCCATCAGACACATCTACAAGTGTAACAGAGATATCAACACCATTCATAACAGATTCATCAGAGGAAGATTCAACAGAGGAAACTGAACCGTCCACTATTGGATTTACTGATGAATCAACTGCAATTACAAAACCCCAATCAACTACAAGCGTTACAACTGGATTCACCTTAGAAGAATCAACTATAGACTTCACTGATGAGACATTGGAACCGATAACATCAATCCCATCAGACATATCTACAAGTGTAACAGAGATATCAACACCATTCACAACAGATTCATCAGAGGAAGATTCAACAGAGGAAACTGATCCGTCCACTATTGGATTTACTGATGAATCAACTGCAATTACAAAACCCCAATCAACTACAAGCGTTACAACTGGATTCACCTTAGAAGAATCAACTATAGACTTCACTGATGAGACATTGGAACCGATAACATCAATCCCATCAGACACATCTACAAGTGTAACAGAGATATCAACACCATTCACAACAGATTCAACAGAGGAAACTGAACCGTCAACTATTGGATTTACTGATGAATCAACTGCAATTACAAAACCCCAATCAACTACAAGCGTTACAACTGGATTCACCTTAGAAGAATCAACTATAGACTTCACTGATGAGACACTGGAACCGATAACATCAATCCCATCAGACATATCTACAAGTGTTACTGAAATATCAACAGCATTTTCAACAGATTCATCAGAGGAAGATTCAACAGAGGAAACTGAACCATCCACTATTGGATTTACTGATGAATCAACTGCAACTACAAAACCCCAATCAACTACAAGAGTTACAACTGGATTCACCTTAGAAGAAACTACTATAGACTTCACTGACGAGACACTGGAACCGATAACATCAATCCCATCAGACATATCTACAAGTGTTACTGAAATATCAACAGCATTTTCAACAGATTCATCAGAGGAAGATTCAACAGAGGAAACTGAACCATCCACTATTGGATTTACTGATGAATCAACTGCAACTACAAAACCCCAATCAACTACAAGAGTTACAACTGGATTCACCTTAGAAGAATCAACTATAGACTTCACTGATGAGACATTGGAACCGATAACATCAATCCCATCAGACACATCTACAAGTGTAACAGAGATATCAACACCATTCATAACAGATTCATCAGAGGAAGATTCAACAGAGGAAACTGAACCGTCCACTATTGGATTTACTGATGAATCAACTGCAATTACAAAACCCCAATCAACTACAAGCGTTACAACTGGATTCACCTTAGAAGAATCAACTATAGACTTCACTGATGAGACATTGGAACCGATAACATCAATCCCATCAGACATATCTACAAGTGTAACAGAGATATCAACACCATTCACAACAGATTCATCAGAGGAAGATTCAACAGAGGAAACTGAACCGTCCACTATTGGATTTACTGATGAATCAACTGCAATTACAAAACCCCAATCAACTACAAGCGTTACAACTGGATTCACCTTAGAAGAATCAACTATAGACTTCACTGATGAGACATTGGAACCGATAACATCAATCCCATCAGACATATCTACAAGTGTAACAGAGATATCAACACCATTCACAACAGATTCATCAGAGGAAGATTCAACAGAGGAAACTGAACCGTCAACTATTGGATTTACTGATGAATCAACTGCAATTACAAAACCCCAATCAACTACAAGCGTTACAACTGGATTCACCTTAGAAGAATCAACTATAGACTTCACTGATGAGACATTGGAACCGATAACATCAATCCCATCAGACATATCTACAAGTGTAACAGAGATATCAACACCATTCACAACAGATTCATCAGAGGAAGATTCAACAGAGGAAACTGAACCGTCCACTATTGGATTTACTGATGAATCAACTGCAATTACAAAACCACAATCAACTACAAGAGTTACAACTGGATTCACCTTAGAAGAAACTACTATAGACTTCACTGACGAGACACTGGAACCGATAACATCAATCCCATCAGACATATCTACAAGTGTTACTGAAATATCAACAGCATTTTCAACAGATTCATCAGAGGAAGATTCAACAGAGGAAACTGAACCGTCAACTATTGGATTTACTGATGAATCAACTGCAACCACAAAACCCCAATCAACTACAAGAGTTACAGCTGGATTCACCTTAGAAGAATCAACTATAGACTTCACTGATGAGACACTGGAACCGATAACATCAATCCCATCAGACATATCTACAAGTATAACAGAGATATCAACAAAAATTACAACAGATTCAACAGAGGAAACTGAACCGTCCACTATTGGATTTACTGATGAATCAACTGCAATTACAAAACCCCAATCAACTACAAGAGTTACAGCTGGATTCACCTTAGAAGAAACTACTATAGACTTCACTGACGAGACACTGGAACCGATAACATCAATCCCATCAGACATATCTACAAGTGTAACAGAGATATCAACAGCACTTACAACAGATTCAACAGAGGAAACTGAACCGTCCACTATTGGATTTACTGATGAATCAACTGCAACCACGAAACCCCAATCAACCACAAGAGTTACAGCTGGATTCACCTTAGAAGAAACTACTATAGACTTCACTGACGAGACACTGGAACCGATAACATCAATCCCATCAGACATATCTACCAGTGTAACAGAGATATCAACAAAAATTACAACAAATTCAACAGAGGAAACTGAACCGTCAACCATTGGATTTACTGATGAATCAACTGCAACTACAAAACCCCAATCAACTACAAGAGTTACAACTGGATTCACCTTAGAAGAAACTACTATAGACTTCACTGACGAGACACTGGAACCGATAACATCAATCCCATCAGACATATCTACAAGTGTAACAGAGATATCAACAAAAATTACAACAGATTCAACAGAGGAAACTGAACCGTCAACCATTGGATTTACTGATGAATCAACTGCAACTACAAACCCCCAATCAACTACAAGAGTTACAACTGGATTCACCTTAGAAGAAACTACTATAGACTTCACTGATGAGACACTGGAACCGATAACATCAATCCCATCAGACATATCTACAAGTGTAACAGAGATATCAACAAAAATTACAACAGATTCAACAGAGGAAACTGCACCGTCCACTATTGGATTTACTGACGAATCAACTGCAACTACAAAACCCCAATCAACTACAAGAGTTACAACTGGATTCACCTTAGAAGAAACTACTATAGACTTCACTGATGAGACACTGGAACCGATAACATCAATCCCATCAGACATATCTACAAGTGTAACAGAGATATCAACAAAAATTACAACAGATTCAACAGAGGAAACTGAACCGTCAACCATTGGATTTACTGATGAATCAACTGCAACTACAAACCCCCAATCAACTACAAGAGTTACAACTGGATTCACCTTAGAAGAAACTACTATAGACTTCACTGACGAGACACTGGAACCGATAACATCGATCCCATCAGACATATCTACAAGTGTTACTGAGATATCAACAGCACTTACAACAGAGGAAACTGAACTACTAACTACAATAGTTACCGATCGTTCAATTACCACAACACAACAGTCAACCACAGGAATTACTACTGGATCCACCACAAAAGAAACAACTATAGATTTCCCTGCCTTATCAACAACTGAAAATGCACTGGAATCCACTTCACCGTTCACATCAGGAATATCTAAAAGAGTCACTAAAGAATTAACAACATCATTTACATCAGAAATGTCAACAAGTGTTACTGAAAAATCAACGAATAAGGAAGATTCAACTGCAGAGACTGAAATGCCAACTATAGGAATTACTATTCAATCGACTACACTCATGACACCAGACTCAACTACAGGAGGCAAATCACCAACTGAGATTCCTGATTTATCAACTACAACAGGGGGGATTTCAACAGAATTTACAACTACAGGAGTTGCTGATAAGTCTGTCTCAACAGAAATTAAATCCACATCAGCAGAATCAACCACTCACGCCACAGCTGAGCCCACCTCTATAGATACACCAACCAAGGCTATTACAGCAAAATCAACGATAGCAATAACAGAACGGCTAACAACTACATTCACAACAGAGTCCTCTACAGGAATTAGCATAGGAAAGGAAACCTCAGTGATCACTGCACAACCTGAGGTAACCACATCCAGGACTACAGCAAATACAGAAGGATCGATGACATCTGCAGTTACTGCCACTGAGAGCTCACCATCCAGTGCAACCACTGTCTCGCAAGAAAGTCCACTCTTTTGTAAGTTAAACAAACCCAATTTTTGTATTTTGTGTAATACATGACAATGCAAAATGTTTGCTAGGGTCATTAATATTTTTCCAGTTTGAAAAATTTGTTTGTACATTATTTATTTGGTATTCTACCGGAGAGAATGGACAGTCCCCCGTTAAAATCATAAAATTAGGCTTTCATTATTGAAATTTAACCTGCTTCTTTGTGTTTCATTCAGGTGATTTGGTTTAAAAAGAGTAGTTGCAGTGATTTAGACTAATATCCATTTATTCATTCTTTGAAAACAGCACCACAATCTACAACACAACCACTGACAACTGTACTGGAACTTACTACAACTGCAACAAAGCCTACACCACTTACAACTCTGGTCCTTGTCAGATTTACCAGTGATGAAACGTTTGATCTTGCACTGCTGGACTCAACTTCCCTTCAGTTTACAAATCGAGAACAAAGAATCAAACGTGAAGTATGCCGTTTAGTTCCCTTTCAAATACCTTTTTATTTAAGATGATGTTTAGTACAGACAAACAAAGCACCCAGACTAGAAAGAAAAGAACTGCAAAAAATGTTAAAGTGCACTGCACTAAAATCGATATAATTATTACATTAAATACAACAACATTTTTATTACCACCATAACTCTTTATGTGCTGGATTTTTTATGTTTTAAACTTTATATCTGAATGTTTAACCTGCCTTTGTAACTTTCCTACAGTTTGAGCCAATCCTTAAAAACGCATTTACCTCCTTCCTCGGACTGACAGTTATTCGGTTCCGGTGAGTATTTCTTCATTTCTTGTCCAAGAAATATACATAAAACAAGCGACATAACATATTTTCTCAAATGCTATGCATAACAAAAAGCTAATTTTGAAACTTGCACACTATTTGACATAACCTTAAACTAAATACTTTTGTTCTCTTTTTATGTGTAGTTCTGGATCAGTAATCACAGACATGAATTTGAAATTCAGCATGGACATGCTCCCTGGGGATAATAATATCACACAAGTTATCAGGAATGCAAATACTACATTTAATATAACCAGTGTGGATGGTAAGTAAATCAGTTGATAATCTAACAAAAAAAGAGTAAATTGTCATTAAATAGATTTTGTTATGGAGACTCTATTTGAGACTAATATCACTTCTCAATTGTTTTTTTGTCAACTATAATTCAATCTACAATACAAACAATCAGTTTTGCCGACAAATGATGCTACAACTTCAACCGAACCTTCTATAACAACCATTACACCCACTACAACCGAACCAACAACAAGCCAGCCTACAGTTACAACACCACCCCAGGATACAAAAAACCTCCAGACTGCAACCCACTCAACAACTATATTTCACCCTGTAACAACTGTGATCCAGTCATTAAAGACTTCACAACAAACTGAAATCCAGCCTACAACTGAAACTCCATCAACAATTACTACACAACTAGCAACAGCTACAACCCAGCCTACGTTCTCAACAACTGCCCAGCCAACAAATACAGTCCAGACAGCAACTATTTCACAACCAACACAAACTGAAATCAAACCTATAACTGAGACCCAGTCAACAATAACTACATCACAGCTCACAACAGCTACAACTGAGTCTACGTTCTCAACAACTGCCCAGCCTACAAATACAGTCCAGACAGCAACTATTTCACAACCAACACAAACTGAAATCAAACCTATAACCACAACAGCTACAACTGAGTCTACATTCTCAACAACTGCCCAGCCTACAGTCCAAACAGCAACTATTTCACAAACTACACAAACAGAAACCCCACCTATAACCGGGGCCCAGTCAACAGTAACTACATCACAGCTCACAACAGCTACAACTGAGTCTACGTTCTCAACAACTGCCCAGCCTACAAATACGGTCCAGACAGCAACTATTTCACAACCAACACAAACTGAAATCAAACCTATAACGGAGACCCAGTCAACAATAACTACATCACAGCTCACAACAGCTACAACTGAGTCTACATTCTCAACAACTGCCCAGCCTACAGTCCAAACAGCAACTATTTCACAAACTACACAAACAGAAACCCCACCTATAACCGGGGCCCAGTCAACAATAACTACATCACAGCTCACAACAGCTACAACTGAGTCTACGTTCTCAACAACTGCCCAGCCTACAAATACAGTCCAGACAGCAACTATTTCACAACCAACACAAACTGAAATCAAACCTATAACTGAGGTCCAGTCAACAATAACTACATCACAGCTCACAACAGCTACAACTGAGTCTACGTTCTCAACAACTGCCCAGCCTACAAATACGGTCCAGACAGCAACTATTTCACAACCAACACAAACTGAAATCAAACCTATAACGGAGACCCAGTCAACAATAACTACATCACAGCTCACAACAGCTACAACTGAGTCTACATTCTCAACAACTGCCCAGCCTACAGTCCAGACAGCAACTATTTCACAACCAACACAAACTGAAATCAAACCTATAACTGAGGTCCAGTCAACAATAACTACATCACAGCTCACAACAGCTACAACTGAGTCTACGTTCTCAACAACTGCCCAGCCTACAAATACAGTCCAGACAGCAACTATTTCACAACCAACACAAACTGAAATCAAACCTATAACGGAGACCCAGTCAACAATAACTACATCACAGCTCACAACAGCTACAACTGAGTCTACGTTCTCAACAACTGCCCAGCCTACAGTCCAGACAGCAACTATTTCACAAACTACACAAACAGAAACCCCACCTATAACCGGGGCCCAGTCAACAGTAACTACATCACAGCTCACAACAGCTACAACTGAGTCTACATTCTCAACAACTGCCCAGCCTACAGTCCAAACAGGAACTATTTCACAAACTACACAAACAGAAACCCCACCTATAACCGGGGCCCAGTCAACAATAACTACATCACAGCTCACAACAGCTACAACTGAGTCTACGTTCTCAACAACTGCCCAGCCTACAGTCCAGACAGCAACTATTTCACAAACTACACAAACAGAAACCCCACCTATAACCGGGGCCCAGTCAACAGTAACTACATCACAGCTCACAACAGCTACAACTGAGTCTACGTTCTCAACAACTGCCCAGCCTACAGTCCAAACAGCAACTATTTCACAAACTACACAAACAGAAACCCCACCTATAACCAGGGCCCAGTCAACAATAAGTACATCACAGCTCACAACAGCTACAACTGAGTCTACATTCTCAACAACTGCCCAGCCTACAAATACGGTCCAGACAGCAACTATTTCACAACCAACACAAACTGAAATCAAACCTATAACTGAGGTCCAGTCAACAGTAACTACATCACAGCTCACAACAGCTACAACTGAGTCTACATTCTCAACAACTGCCCAGCCTACAGTCCAGACAGCAACTATTTCACAACCAACACAAACTGAAATCAAACCTATAACTAATATCCAATCAGCAATTACATCAAAGCTAACTACAGCTACAACCCAGTCTACAATCTCTACAAATGCTCAGCCAACAAACACAGCCCATTCTGTGACTACTTTACAACCAACACAAACTGCAACCAAACCAATAACTACGGCTGTAACCCAGACCACAGCAGAGCCTTTAACTTCAATCCAGCTGACAAAATTAACCCAACCTCAGAGTACAACTCAAGCTACAAATATACCTACAACCAAATCTGCAGCTTCTGCAATCCAGACCAATACTACAACCCAAGCAATATCAACTTCAATCCAATCAACAATGACATCAAACCCTGCGACAACTACAAGTAAACAGCCAACGACTGCAATTCAAGAGACAACATTAACCCCTATAAAACTTACGACTACTGCCCAACCTACTAGCACAATTCAAGCAACATTTAAATCTACAGACAAATCTACTGCAACTCAGCCTACACTTCAAACTATAACACAGACGATAGCTTCTTCCCAGCCAAATATAACTCTGTTACCATTCACAACAACTACAAACCAGGTAATAACTACACTGGCAACAACTGCAACCCAGTCTACATCTTCAACTATAACTCCATCTAAAACACCAACCCAACTTACCATAACTACAATCCAGCCTACAGTAAATACATTGAAACCTTCAAGTACTACCCCATCTAATGCACCAAACCACAACACAACCGAGCCTTTACTTAAAACAACAGCACCGCTCACAACTACAGTAACAGTCAGATTGACCAACAATCAAACAACGACAACAACACCAACAACCACCACAACCACACCACCACCAACAACAACCACAACACCAACAACAACAACCACAACACCAACAACCACAACCACAACACTGACAACCACAACCACACCAACAACCACAACACCACCAACAACAACAACCACAACACCAACAACAACCACAACACCAACAACAACCACCACACCACCACCAACAACACCACCAACAACAACCACAACACCACCAACAACAATCACAACACCAACAACCACAACCCCCCCAACAACAACCACAACACCAACAACCACAACCCCCCCAACAACAATCACAACACCAACAACCACAACACCACCAACAACAATCACAACACCACCAACAACAACCACAACACCAACAACCACAACACCACCAACAACAACCACAACACCACCAACAACCACAACAACCACAACACCACCAACAACAACAACAACAACAACTACAACACCACCAACAACAACAACAACCACAACACCAACAACAACAATAACACCAACAACAACAACCACAACACCAACAACAACAACAACAACCACAACACCACCAACAACAACACCAACAACAACAACAACTACAACACCAACAACAACAACACCAACAACAACAACACCAACAACAACCACAACAACAAAAAAAACAACACCCACAACAACCACCACCACCACCACCACAACAGCAGTTCCAACACGCCCTCCACCAGTTGTAACCATAGAGTTGATCATTTTTGTAGTTTTCACTTCAGATCTACAAAACACAGCAAGTGTGGTATTTAAGAACCTGGCACAACAAGTTGAAACTGAGGTGAGTTTAAGCAACCAAAACCTTTGTGTGTGTGTGTGTGTGTGTACTTGTTTTACATTGTGGCTTGTTTGGTTTTCATCTTTAAAACAATTTAAATCAACTATCTCACTTGGTTGTGATCTTTTGTTGACCGGTGAAAATACTTTTGTTGATACTTCTCACACCAGTTTCACATTTTATTTGATTCTTATGTATAAATTATTTTATTGCGACACGATATTTAATAACGTCGCCAAATCTGGCTCTTCCGCAGTGTAACAGAGTATATAAGCAGAGGTATGGACCTCGTTTCATCAGAGTTATTGTGATTGCTTTCAGGTGGGTTTCTTTTTTTTTTACTGAACATATAAAAGACAAAATCCTCATGTCTTCCACACTGTCAGATGTTAACGGTTTGTGTCTCCCATCAGATCTTTTAGCAGAACCCGGGCTGAACCAAATGTACAGGCAGAGCTTGAATTAGTGTTTGACCAAACCTCCAATGAACCCATCCCCGCCAACGATGAAATAGTGCAGACTCTAAAAGAAGCAGCTACAAATCCAAACTCAGGCTTTAACCTTTCTATTGATGTGACCTCCATCGCTGTTACCAGTGAGTAAATAGTAAATTACAGTTCTTCAATGTTAACATCTCTTGAAAAATCCACCTGATACACTGTTTTCTACTTTTTAATCCTTTGCAGAATCACTGCAGATAATTCCAGTGACCATCGTGACTAACGGGACCTTCGTGGCTGCTCTTTCAAGTACAATTTCAACTGAATATCAGGACAGGGCTACGATGATAAAAACAGGGGTAAGTGTGATGTGACTATTTAAAAATGTCGGGTAACATGCTATGAAAAGAAACCAAGTTTTGTTGAAACGACTCTTGTTTTGCAGCTTGAACCTTTTTTCTTTGTCGATTACCCTACGTCATTCAGCATCTTAACCATAAAAAACTTCAGGTATGCATGTGTGTGTTTGCTTGTGTGTTCTTGAATACGAGATTTGACGTATCATTCCGTTTTATTGAATGAATTTTGATTTAAAACTCCCTCCAGTGATGTCAGTGTAAAAACAAGGAGTGTACCCACGATCCGAAACTCCATGGATCTCGCATTTGCAGCGAATACCGCTCTACCCAACAGCACCCAGATAGTGAACACTATAGTTAAAGCCGCCAGAAACAACTCCATACCCTTCCAGATCTTCACATTTGAAATTGTGATAAACGGCACAAGTAAGTAATTTTGTACTGTAGGAAAATACTGTCTGCTCATATTAGTGTTTATACTTTAATTAATACCGTCATGTAAATAAAGATGTGTTTTAGATTGACATGATTGAATACATTTTGTTTGTTTTGCAGTATTTTCATCAGCTGAAGTCGGAAGCAAGATCAGTGTGTTGAGCGCTGTATTTCTAGTTGCTGTGTCACTTCTGGTTCCGTGGTTTGATTGACCATAATCCCACCATAACGGATTCTGACAGGTCTGAATGTTGCTCAAATGAAGGACTCGTATGCAAACCAGACCTTGAAACGACAATACATTGAATTTCAGCTTCTATAGCTTCAGAACAGGCTGAACCATGTCTAGTCATACAAGAATTTTCTGTCATTTGTTATCTATTATGATAAAAAAAAACTCCATTAACCATTAACTTATATTTGCATGTCATTTTTATGATTAGTTTAATCTGTAAATCAAAGGGTATTTCTCTAAATTGATCAATGTATTGCATATTTGGATGTAGAATTGGAGTTGGGTATTGGGTAAGTAAGTATTTTCTGGCTACATGTCAACCTCCTTCTCTACAGATTACTATTGTAATATGTACATATATATATAAATGTATAAACATATAATGTATAAGTATCACTGTAATATTTTTGTTAATTTATTAACAAAAGAGTTGTCGATGTATATGTTTATTTATCAATAAAGCACAGTGCAATTAGCAACTAAATGCCATATTCTCAGTGTCTTAGTGATTTTGCAGCTGTTCGATTCATCAGGTCCCACATCCCAGTTCCTGCTTAGTTCTTTAATTTATTGGGTTTTTGAGAAATGTGCATTATGCATTGATTCCGATGTACCTAAAAACTCGTAAAAAAGTATCGTGAACAGATGTTGTGTGCGTATAAAGACTTGTATTTCGCCGTCATGAGCCTCTTCCGTGAAAATTAGTCTCTTACTCAGAAAGATAGAGGAAAGAAACGCTATGTCTATATTTTTGTCTATCCAAAATAATAAGATAGGTATTTTCTACAAACCATTTCTTCACATTAATGCATCATTTGGCTATATGCGTGCATGTGGACGGCTTTTTGCAGACTGGGCTTGTAGGTAAAGTACATACTCGTGTAAGTCACATACTTCTGCGTCGAAGTGTCTTAAGGGGCATTTCATTTACACAGTGATGGCTATAGTTTTATTTGTACATTTGATTATTTATACAATTTATGTAGTATTTTTTATTTCTAGTGCTTGAAGTTTTACGGTAGGTCTATTTAATGTGTCTTTGTTCTATTGTAGTTTGTTTTCTAAACGTTTGTAATTAGTTTCTTTGTTAATTCTTTATCACGGTTTACTTGTCTTTAGCAGTGGTGGAGGAAGTATTGAATCTCAGTACTTAAGTAAAAGTACAAATACCCAGATAAATATTTACTTTAGTAAAAGTAGAAGTAACACAATGACAACCATACTTAAGTAAAAAGTAAAAAGTACTTTATTTTAAATGTACTTTAAGTATTAAAAGTAAAAGTACTTGCATAACAATTTATTATTTTAATGTCTATTTTCTAATGATTAATAAAACATTTAATTCTAACTCATTCAACCTAATAGCCTACTCCTATAATGATGTTCAATAATGATGGAAAAAAAATGTCACCATTTCTGAAACAAGCTTGCAATTAGGCAATATCATGCTTATCCTTAGTACTATATGTTAATAACTATGTTTGGCAGTAAACGCGATTCATTTATGGTGTAATTCTGAACCTCTTGGCTTGCCATAATCCTAACCAAACCAAACATATATCACACACGGTGTGTTTCCTATGCACGTAAAACAAATTTCGCGTATGAGTTGCATGATAAACACACTGCGTATGAGACGCATTTAGTGTGACCGGGTTGATATACTGTATCTATGGCAACCGAACGTCACTGGTGAGACAAACGTGCAACGAACGGATGGTCAGATTACGTTTTGGCAGGGGAAAAACTGATCAGAAAATGTAACGAAAATGTAACAGAAGTTGTAGAAATGTAGTGGAGTAGAAAGTAAAATAATTGCTGCGAAATGTAACGAAGTAAAAGTAAAAAGTAGGCACTATTTATTGTACTTAAGTAAAGTAAAGATACGAAAAAAAAAAGTATTTGTACTTCGTTACATTCCACCACTGGTCTTAGTAAGCTTAAGTTTTAAAATTGTTAGCAAACAATTAATGAATTTTGACTTTTATTTCATCATGTTGTTCATTAAGAATTTTAACGATGAAAAGCAACATAACTTATTCTCGATTATAATATGCTTCTATTCATTTCGAAGGCTATAGGCCGCTTTGCTTGATATGTAGCCTAGCTCTGTTTGACACGCTCCATGTTGGGAAAAACGTTTGCCATGAAAAGCGTTGGAGATTCCTGCGCTACTGCATTATCAGGCCAGACTGTATGTTTATGCAAAAGTCATGATATGATGTTGATCAGGCTCCTTGGCTTGTTACCAAGATCATATTTCATCTAAAAAATTTTCCCTCCTACACAATCAGATCATAAGAATGTCTGTAATGACAAAAATGAGAAAACAACTTCCTTATCAGCTTAAACGAATCGTTTTAGGGCTGAACGATTAATTGCATTTGCGATAAAATCGCGATATGATGAAACGCGATTTTTTAATCGCAAGAGCTGCGATTATACTGGTCACGTGACACGCGAGAGAAAAGCAGTCTGCAAGATAAAGCATCAACTTGCCACGCTACGCGGTCTGGCGTTCAGAAAACAACAGTTTATTGTGTTATTTATTCTCTCCTCTCCCCAACAATCCTGGATCGATTCAGAGAATTTCAGAATCGAGTATGAGCTTATAGTTTTTAAACACAGATGCGTGATGACGCTGCGCGTACTTTAGAAACGAACCGTGTTCTGAATCTGCTTGAACTATTTTCTCTCTCTCTCTTCCTCACTCACACACACGACACCGCTCGAACCTTACAAAACATAGTAACGTTATTTTATAAAGGTCGGGGTTGAACCGAATTACAAGGACATTCGCGGGCTTCATTGAACAGGTTTTGCCGCTTTGCTTGATGTTATGACGTTACACTTGCAGTGCGCGTTCTCTCCCGCGGGTATTTTCTTTACAAATGCTTCACAGAGGCATTATTTATGTCTTTTGGAATGCAGTTGGCTTATATATTAAAACCATGAAAATCACTGAGAAGGCTGCTTTTGTTTTAAAATACTAACGCGTGCTTTGTGAAGAGCGCTCGTGCATGCGGCCGTGAGCGACTCATTGGTAGATGTACTTGCATGTCAAAATGCTTTTATGACGCGAAATTGATGTAAACACGGTCAGTTATATCTTAAACCAACAGGACAAACCACATTTACAATTTCAAAAGAGATATATATGCATTAGTGTGAAATGCAGCTTATCGTATCTAAACTGAGGGGAAATCACTCCAGCTCTTGAATGAAAAACATTCAGACAGCCTACTTTTAAATACTCAGACCACTCTTTGTTTATTGCTTGTAATGTTTGTTTCTCTTTATTTACTAGCTTTTATATTTTGAAGCTATATTATTTTATATAGCCTATTTAAAATTCTTAACATGTAATTGGTTTAATTAAATGTTTTTTTATATTTATTTTTTAAAGTATGTGTTTTTACACATGTAATTAAATACATATTTTAAGCGTTATTAAGATTAATTAATAAGAAAAAAAGTAGATCGGATCATGAGCTATCTAAAGATTCCCATGTACAATGATTTATTGCTTGTCTTTGTCGACTAACACAGAAGGTAAATAACTTTTTTTTTTAAATCGCATATTAAATCGCAATCGCAATATTGGTTAAAAAAAAAAATCGCAATTAGATTATTTTCCAAAATCGTTCAGCCCTAGTTTCGTTTCCTTTATCCATTTACATAGCACCTTACTGACTACCACTGTAGATCCAAAGTGCTGTACATAACTAGGGCTGCAACTAACGATTATTTTGATAATCGATTAATCGGACGATTATTTTTTCGATTAATCGATTAATCGGATAAAAAATTTATATTCCATTTTTTTGTTTATTATAACAAAATAAAACCCTAAAAACCACACTCTTTTGTGTGTTAAACAATCTACTTAATACAGACAACTTCATTATAAAGAAAAAAAACAAATAAAAAAAATATATATGACCATAACCTATGACAAAAATGCTATTGTAAACTAGATTAGTGGATAACTCAGCAAAACTTAGCCTAGAAATATCACAAGTGCACAATAATTTTATAAAATCTGAACATTTAGTGAAAAAAATATTCCTTAGTGGGGAACAAATAAGAGACAATAAGTGTAGCACTAACTCTGGTAAAACGTACACATTGCTCTTTGTATTGTTCTTATACATTCATGAAAAACATCGTAAAAATCAGATGCACAACTGTTTTAAATGTAAAGCACAGCTGTTTAGTGAGGAAGCAAAATATAATAGATAGGACAGAACAAGAAAGGCTATTAATAAGCTTTCATTGCGCAAAAGTATTATGACATGATCATGAAAGAGCTGCACAGAGTGCAAATGCGCATCGCGAGCGCTGAATGATGCGCTTGAAGCAACACGGAGTCACTGGGCGGCGCGCAGCTCTTCAGTGTCCGCCGCATTAAAGTTAAAAGCACCAAGGAAAGAGAAAGACATATTGACTGTGTATTATACAGTATCTATGCAATAGTTTATTAAGCCTTTTCTTTTAACAGTTTTAAATTTCAGTTAGGCTACTGTGCACGTGAAGAACAATTATACTGCGCCGACTCTACTCTAGTGTTGTGATCTAACAGACACTCAGTAGAAAGTGATTAAGTTACAGCAATAAAAGTCTAGCAAGATAGAAAAACCATCATAGACCTTTATCTACGGATCAATTATAAAAATAACATTGAATCATCTTGGAAAGAGTTTCATCATGTTAACTGTTGTAACGCGACGCGAATAGAGAATGACTGACAGCCGCAGTGGAGGGAAAAGCTTAGGTTGACTTAAATATACATTTCTATCTCACATTATACTATAGTATGGCTTCATAAAGTATACACGATTAACGTAGGTCACCTATTTTGGTTTCAAAACGGCGAATTTACCGAAAGGTGAATGATTTTCGTGTATGCTGCATATTGATAGCGGTTTCCTGATGCCCGCAAATTAGTTCAAACTCACGGAATCAAGAGCGCGCATG